GGTACCCTCTGCGCTTCTTTTGCCTCCTGCGTTTGGCTCCCTCCTGCGCCCCCGCTGCCCCGGCTCCCCGTCTACCTCCGGTGCCCAGATCGCCAGCCGGCGAGCCCGCGCTCCCTTCCGCGGAGAGGGGACCTGGGCGTTCTCTAAGCCCAGAGAGCATTGGACAGCCTGTGCGCGGGGGTTGGAGGAGTTTGGCGGAGAGATTGTTCCTCAGGTCGGGCAGCCTAGCGGAGTGAGTGTAAAACCCTTTCTCCTTCTAGCGGGGACCGTCAGCCTGCGCCCTGCCAGCTCTGGGGATAGAAAGCGGGTGTTCGCGGTTAGAGGAAACTTTCCAGCCGAGCCCCTGGCTAAAGCGAACCGCGCATCTGTCAGGAATGCTCTCCGGGCGCCGTTCTCGCCAGGAGCTTGCGTGCCAGTGCGGTAGATGTGGCAAGGAAAGCAAAGGCGAGCGCATCTGACAGCTAACGCTGAGGACCGGTAGGAAAAACACACACACGCCCCAGGCCCAGCTGGCGAATCTGAGTATGATGCAACCCTGTGTGCCTGCACGACAAAGACAGTGGCTTTAGGAAGCGCAAACGTTTAAGCGTAGAGTAAATGACACCGCCACCAGGAGAGAGCACACTTCATTACACTGTGGACTTGTCGCAGCCAGTAAGGACACCTGTATTTTGTGCTTTGTGATTCACCTGATCTGATCGTTTGAGTTGGGCCAATACAAACAGAAAGGCTCTGTTGGTTTTTGGTTGAGGTAATGAACTGAGATTTCAGATTTCTTGGTTGTTTTCTCCTTTGCCCAAGTCCCCAGATTCTCAAAACTCTAGGATTCGTGTTGGGAGGGAGGAGAGAAGAAAACATGTAAATACCCAGGAGGATTAAAAGCAGATAGCAGTTGAGATTAGAGCCGTCGTTTTTGAGTTGGCAAATGAATGGGTTTGAAATTCGTGAGCCTTGGGCCCAGCTGCCTGTGGATTATATGTGGGGACGAAAGGACAGAATAAGTCGCCAGGAACACACAGCCCGCTCTCAGATTAAGCCATGGTAAGTTCCATGGTCAGCTTTGAAAAGAAAACACCTTTAATTAAATCCTCGAGAAGGAAACAGCTTCTAATAAATAACCCATGTAAGGGTTTGTGAGAATATTCTGTATCACTCACACATCTTTCTAGCAACTGAACCATTCTATCTGGCAGAGAGACTAATTTCCACAGCCACCCAAGTCAAGCGCTGAAAGCAATGCGTATTCAGTCACAAAGACAAGCATTTTAACCCCCTTCTCTTGCTTAAATCCAAGTGTGTAAATTTGCCTTAGGGCCAAACTTGATCATTGGAGTTTAACAAGGTGGGGGGGGGGCGCTGGTGGGTGGTTCATTTGTTTATTCACTCCTGTCCTGGGACTTGTCAGCTGGCTGTGACAACTTGGAGAGTTTAGGATGAGCAAGGAAAGGAGAGGGACTCGAAAGAGGGGAGGGCCAGGGCCAGGGCCTGCCCCCTGCCTTCCGTGTAAGCTTTGGAGAATCTTAGTTACCCACGTCACCACAAACCTGTCTTCCCTTCCGGCTTCTTTCTGCCCCCCCCTCCCCCCCCCCCCCCCCCAGCCCGGTGTCCGTGTCCATTGGTTAGGCCTCTATGCCTGCATGTAAGTCCTTTGGTTGCTCTTTCCCCTTTCCCCCCAGGAATGCAGGGAGGAGGCATTCTATCCAGCGCCATCTTTCTGACAAGTAGTGTTACTGGAAGAGCCTGTGCCAAGTTTAAGTGCCCCAGAAGGACGGCCGGCAGTTTTCTGTCAGTGATAAGGCCGGAACTGGCTTGTGGGCGTTCATTGCAGAAGCCCGGGTGCCAGTAACTGTAGTGTATGTATCAATATGTATGTATTTGTACACATCATGTATACATGTATTTGTGTACATGTGTGGGGGCATGATATTTGAACTGTGGAAAATCTCTCCAGAAA